GGGCCACATGGGGCACCGCCGGACAAGTGTGGCTGTGCCCCACAGCCATCACCCCAAGGGATCGATGCCAGCAAGGCCCAGCTCAGCCCTGAAACACTCCCCAAGGTGCCTGAAACCCGCCGAGTTGCTGCTCAGGGCCCTCAGAGACCCCCACCTCAGCGATGGGGGTCTGGGGAGCGCATCTGCCCCTGGCCCAGGGCAGCAAGAGAGGGATGCAGCGAGGCCGGCAGGGAGGAAACAACCTTGCTGCAATAGTTCACGGCCAGAAGGAGGTTTCCTGGAGGCTGCGCCAGCGTCCCCTCCCGCCTGCTTCAGCACAGAGCGGGGACACCCCGGGGGTTCAGGAGCTGGTGCACCGCCGGACAAGTGTGGCTGTGCCCCACAGCCATCACCCCAAGGGATCGATGCCAGCAAGGCCCAGCTCAGCCCTGAAACACTCCCCAAGGTGCCTGAAACCCGCCGAGTTGCTGCTCAGGGCCCTCAGAGACCCCCACCTCAGCGATGGGGGTCTGGGGAGCGCATCTGCCCCTGGCCCAGGGCAGCAAGAGAGCCGCTCGGGCACTGGGTGGGAGGGACCGCAGGCCATGGAAACCGGATTTTGCCCTGTAAGGAGATGTCCTCTCCAACAGCCCTCTCCTCCTCCCGCCGGAGCCAGACGCCTCGCAGCCAGTGAACCCTTTCATCCTGCAGCCAGGGTCGAGGGAAGCAGCGGGGCTCCCAGGCTGGGAAAGCCGGATCCCGGGGGAGAATGTGCCGAAATGGGGTCGTCCGGGCGGGCAATGGGCCCAGGGAGGTCTGTGGCAGCGGGACCACTGGGGCAAGGCTGCGCTTGTGGAGCAAAGGGCACCGCAGCTCCAGCTGGGGAGTGTTGGGGCCAGACAGGTCTGGTACTGGAGATGGGAGCATGTGGGGCTGGGAGGGGGCTGGTGTGGGCAAGGGGAGCACATGGGGCTGGAACAAACAATAGGGGCACACAGGGCTGACAGCATGTGGGGAGGGGGTGACACCCCAGAGGCATGGGGGTGGACACCCCCTCCAGCATTATGCAGCCCCCAGTGGAGCTGGGGAGCTCCCAGGGCTGGCCCAGCATGGTACTGGCTGGGGGTGACATGCAGGGGGGGCACCT